TGTTTTTCTCCTTTCTGGGTGTCCCAGCCATCTCAGTCTCTGCGCTTTAACAAATCTAATAATTATCTTCTCCTTTCATTATGTCTCTTAGTTCATGGTTCATTCTTCTTCTTATTTCTCCGTTTTCCATTCTTATTGGGACCGTAATTCTTCTGATGATTATCCTTTTGAATACTCTTTTGTCTTCATCTTTATGTGAGGCACATTGTGTCAACTGCTTATGTAACTACTGGTCTGATTTCAACTCTGTATATTTTTCAGTATTGTATTTCTGGATAAGTTCTTGTCTTTCATTCCCCCATCTTCAGATAACTCGCCTATCTCAAAACTCTTCAGAGCTTTCTCTGTCACTATATAATAAAATTCTGTGAAGTGTGTTTTCCATGATCCATTGTCACTTTTAATTACTGGTTTGCATTTTATTTGTTGAGCTTTTAAGTATCCAAATAGTTTAGCGCTGTCGTTACTATTTTCTTTTAGGTCATTTAACAACTCTTCTATTCACAGCTTTTTTTGTTTTCGCAATAATGGTCTGCTACTTTTTTTTATTTGTATTCATTTCAATGGTGTTTGTCTTTAGTTGACATCCACTTATTTCTTGCTTGGTTTTTCTGTTTGATTTTGATTTCGCATTCTATATAGAACCATTATGTCTTTCTTTTTATTTCCCACTATCGTAGCACCTTTTCAACTCAATTCAAAATGAATTTGTTTATATTAAATTATATTAAAATTATATTAAAACCGAATTCGTTTCTGGTCTCAGGCATGTGTTTATTTGAGTTGAATAGGTAATAATCATTTTGATGTCTAAAACTAAATTATGTAATAAGTTTATTTATACTTTTATTATCGTGATATTTATACTTATATATTTTTGTTTTATTGTATACATTGTAAACATTGTTAATCTTATTGGGCAGTAGCTAGTTAAAAATAAATAAATAAACAAATAAAAAAATTTATTTGTTGAAAAAACTTGCATTCCTTGCATTCCCTGTTACACAGCTCTCATTTCTCAACTTTGTGAATGACACGATAAGTAACGTAATATATCACATATTATTGATCAAGAACTACAGACATAAAATAAGACCAAAATCACATTCACAATATAGTTTGTTGTTCTTCACAAGTCATGATTGATATTTTCTAATCACAGATGTTAGATCACACAGTAAAGATATTGAGTACACCTCTAGCCTACACTATAGTGCAACATAAACATAACCTGGAATGAACCTCCGCAGAATAAAATATTGGTATTTGGTAGTGTTGTCATGTCCTTAAAATTTATATTATGTTGTATACTTCAAACATAAAGAGGAAAAGCTTTTAAAAAGTACATTTTTATTATATTATTTGAAGTATTCTGTAGTTTTTAAAATTATTTAAAACACAAATGATTAATTATTTGTTTCTCGTGATATTAAATTGTAGTTAATTATTAGAAATTATAGAAGACCAAACAACATTTCTTTATTCTAGATTATGAAACTTTAATCTTTATTTATTTTAACTTGGGAACTAATGGTCATTACTTTACCATATTAATTTTACCAAGGCACAATTGTGCAGTATAGAGTACAATTTTCTTGGTAAAAATTTGTACAATTCTTGCAAATATAATATTTTCCTCAGAATCTTGTTCCAACTTCATTATCAGTTACATGTTATTAATCATTGATGTTCAAATTTATATCATTAAAATTTATGCAACAATAAATAATTGAAAACTTTTTTTTCAAACTTCCACAAAATTTATTTTAACTTCTTATCACTACAGCTGTTTCAGCTGATTTCCTTTCTTAAGTGATCTATTTTTGGCATGCGTTTATACTTTATAGTCTCTAATGAAATAGGTTGAGGAGGGGAGAACTGTCTCAAGTTGGTCATTCAGAATTATATCTGTGTTTTTTAATTTGTTAATTTCCATAGATTCTAACAAGGATAGCTTAAGGCCTTTATTTTAAATGTGGAGAATTTTAAATTCGTCATTAAAAGAATGATTGCGATCTAGAAAATGAAGTGCATATGTAGAATCTGTTGTTCTATTATTGAATGCCCTTTTAAACAGTTTTTATATTGGTGGAGATACGTAGATCACATACTGGTATGTTTCACAGGAACTAACAGGCAACTAAATCAATTTTTATCGTATATTAATTCACTTCATAGTCATATTGAATTTACAATAGAAACAGAACAAAATCAATCCATAAATTTTTTAGATTTAAAAAATATCAGACTTAAAAACAAACATGACTTCTCCATATTTCATAAACCTACCCATACTGACACGACTATACACAATTCATCATCCCATCCAACACAACATAAACTGGCAGCCTATCATAGTATGTTATATAGATTAACAGAAATTGTGATGTCAAAATACAACTTTGAGACATAATTAAATATCATCAAGCAAATAGCAGTAAACAATGGATACAACGAACAAACAATTAATAAAATGTTAAATCAAAACCTACACAAGAAAGCCCTGAAATTGGTATTTCCACCACCAGAGAAAAAACCCAGTACCTTCTGCTTGATTACTTATACAGGCAAAATATCAACAAAAATAGCCAAACACATAAAAAAGAAAGGAATAACAGCAGCTTTTCGAACAAATAACAACCTAGGCAAATATATCAAAAACAACAAGAGCCAAAATAAAAAAAAAACTTACACAGTGGTGTGTACAAACTTAAATGTGGCGACTGCCCAAAAACTTACATCGGTCAAACTGGTAGAAACTTTAATAAACAAATAGCAGAACATAAAAGGGCTTTCAATAATAGAAAAACAGATTCTACATATGCACTTCACCTTCTAGATCACAATCATTCTTTTAATGACGAATTAAAAATTCTTCACATTCAAAATAAAGGCCTTAAGCTATCCTTGTTAGAATCTATGGAAGTCAACAAATTAGAAAACACAGATATAATTCTGAAGGACCAACTTGAGAAAAACAGTTCTCCCCTCCTCAACCTATTTCATTAGAGACTATAAAGTGTAAATGTATGCCAAAAATAGAACACTTGAGAAAGGCAATCAGTCGAAACAGCTGTAGTGATAAGAAGTTAAAATAAATTTTGTGGAAGTTTGAAAACAAGGTTTTCAGTGTTTTATTGTTACATAAAATGAATTTCCATCAAGTTACGGTCAAATCCATCAATTATTAAAAATTGATCCTTTTGGTATATTATTCTTGTTTCTAACTTTAAATTATTTGAACTATTTCATTTACAATACTTATAGGTTTATTTGTTTATGCATCATAGTGTTTGCCAAATAATTTGTTATCTATTATAGTCAACATATTCAAGGTTGAGATACATCAGTTGCTAATTATATTATACAGTTTTTGTAAGTAATTTACTTTATACTGAATTGGTTTGATTTTATAAAAGAATTAAATTATGCTGTCAACTACAAAATATTTTAAAGCAAATCAAAATCTTTCCTCTTTCAAATTCTGATCCTAAATCATCCCTTTCATGTAATTACATCATCTACTACATCTTTTAGAACCATCCATATTTGTTTCTATTTGTCTAGCAGAGTTAATAGGTACCTTCTATTTCTTGAGAATGTTGTCATTTTCAGAATCTTCTTTCAAATATGTCAGAATTCTCAACTTCTCAACTACTAATTTTTTGCCAATGCTATGAATATGTAATAAGTACCTACATGTTTTTTAGAATCTGTTACAAACATGAATGTAATACATACAGCACTTAAATGGGTAATAAATAGTCACTACAGAAGTCTAGATCTTTTGGGCTAAAACATAGTATGGTATACACAAAAAATATTTTTTAAGTCTAACTGTGAAAAGGTCTTCCACCCTTTGAAATCTACAATAGCTTTTTGTGTCCTATTCTATTATTGATATTATTCTTCTCCTATGTTTTTTGTCAGTAGTTCTTGGAAATGGTCTTCTTTTTTATATTAGCAACTTCTGATAATTATTTCTGGTCCATGGGCACCCCCTGCCCGGAAAGAAATACATAGCTATAGTGTAAGTATAGTTCTATATTTTAGATTGGTTAATAGTATAATGCACCATCTGAAAATAATTCTGACATTGCCCATGGTCCTATTTTTCTATTTTTTACTAGGTTTAGTGAATATTCAGGCATATATGCTTTCTGTATCTTCAACAAGATACAGCATTTATGTATTTCATATGCTTCATTTAGTTTTTATTCTTGCATAATTGTGTTTGGCTATTCAAACTGAAACAGTTCAATTCCTATTTAGTTAAAAGAAACTATTTTCAATATATGACATCTAAGCTTGTTAAAATGTGAACAAATGGAAAGGCACCATGACCTGAGCAAATCACAAGGCTCTACAAAAAATGAGAACTTTGAGATATATCTTTCACACACACACTCCACACAAATGGTTTCTATAAAAACATTAGAATGAAAGTTCTAGAAAGATCTTTTTTGTATCTTTAATTATATATAATACCTTAAATTATTTAGGCATTATACTCCATTATTTATAAAATTAAAGATGACTACTACTGTAAAATTTACTTTTTATGCAAAAACTTGTGCCAATGTGCAGCATCAAAATTAAAATATATCAGAGGCGATTAGAAGATGTGATAAGAATTGAAAAATGGTTAGTTTAAGCATCTTTAGGATGCAGTAAAAACGATCAAGCAAATAAGTGGTAAATGTGTTCTAAAAACTGGTATCTATTAAGTAGGTACCACTATTTTTGTTGTGAAATATAATATGGACCAAATATTGATTTTTGCCTTAATCTGAGATTGCGCGAGAAAATAAATAATTTATGTAACATAAGTGGAGAATTTTCAATCTAATGATGTGCTAAATTTTCAGAAATCCAAGGAAGATATTTTTAGAAAACGGCTAGATTTTTTAATTATCGGCTTGGAAAATTAACTTATGAATTTTAAGCACCAGAAAAAATGCCTTTGGCATTATAAAGATACTAAAATAAACGTAACTTACCTCTGACCAAATAAAAGAAAAACACGGTCTGCCAAAACTACCACTTATAAATTTTCAAACAAAACTTTTCAACTATTTTGTTTTTTCTAAAACGGTCAAAGGATTTAATGACTGGTTAACTTTTCTAGAAAAGGATAACTTTGAGAATATTCACTACTACTGGATTATGTCAATTGCAATGTATTCGTATTGTAAATCAGGTAAACTTTGAGAGATATCTAGACTTAGACCAATAATGAATATGTACCACCTATCACTAGTATCACTCTAGCTAGACTGCGCGACCTTCAATGTGCCACCCATCCATGTGCCAACTGCCAATGTGTATTCTATTGTGGTATTGTGTACAACTGTACGGCGCACACGATGTTTTGCCAGTATAGCCGGCCACACACGAGATGTTTCCTCTTATAATAACAAATTATCTATCGCTTTTTTTTTTCATTTTTATTGATTTGGTATTTAAGAATAGCATTCTATGATAGTACAAAACGGGCTACATAACATAATATCCCCAGGTTGCGCCAAATCAGAGAATAAATAACAATCAGAATGCCCACTCTCAGATGCCTCCTTTGAAGATTTTCAGCACGCGAATGCCATGTTTTAGATGGAAACAGACTTGGATTGACAAATTTGTGACAAGTTATGACAGAACTATTTTTAAAATTTTTAGAGATTAATAATTTAGTACATTTGAAATAATTTTGAAATCATTTAGTACATTTTGAAATAATTCTTCAACTAAATGTACGAATAAAATAGTGCATTATTATGTCTGTAGTGGGTGGAAATAAATTAAACCGGGTTAATTGGTCTATGCACACCATATAAAATATCACTAAACAGCATTGGTTCCGTTTAAAGCATGGTTGATTCCGTCTGCGCGAACGAGATGCACATACTTATTGTTTCAAGCAGAGTGGGCATTCTGATTGTTTATTATTCTGTAGCCAAATATTTGCAACTTACAATCACTAGTTACAGTGTTTCCTTAAAGTAAGGTTCATAAAAGTCAAAGTAACCCCAGTCAAATAATTACATAAAATTTCAAATTAGGCGAAATCAGTCATACCGGTCTGAGACTATGAGTCTGAGCTATTCATTATTTCACCCAGGACATACTGGATTATATATATAATCAGTGTGCGCATACTCACGTACAACAATAAAATACACTCCGAGGACTCTGGGGTGTTATAGCCTTGGCACGAGATCGGCGTACTGCTGATAGGATTTCGTCCATCGAGTTAGAATCTATGGAGAGGGCATCACGTGACTAAAAACGACCTCACTTCGGCCATATTGTTATGATCGTTTTGACAGATTGTGTATGATTGTTCATGTTTGTTGTTTTTCGAATATTTTTAGTTTTATAATACTTTTATAGAAACTGTAATATTATATTGTTATAGTGCATAATGGTGGTTTCTTGTTCTCAACGTAGTTGCAGTAACAGAAGCAATGTTAATAAAAAATCTTCAGGAATAACGTTCCACATGTTAGTATACAAATATGTAAACACAGTAATGGCCCGTACTTCAGAGAATAAATTAATAGTATTTGACTGTATTAGTTTACTTTATGTATAATATATCGTGTTTTTAGTGTTTACCGTGGGATAAATAAATCATAGTTTATTAAAAATGTATTGCACCTGTTTAGATTATGATTAAACCTTCTGAATAACTAGTCATATTTGTATAGTAGTTTTAATATTATTTAGTCTGGCCCTGATCCCACCGCCATATTGGTATGCTCGTTAGCTACACTTACTGACGCCGTTTTTAATACTCACGTTAATATGCCCATAGCTTCTCTATATATTCTAACTCGATGATATCGTCACAACTTATAAAAACAAAAATGGACAGGCAAGAAAAATAGCCCAGAAAACTACTCAGAAGTTAGTAACTTTTAACAAAGTCTATATATAAAAATATAAAGGTTACATACAAAGATGTAATCCCAGTCGAGGACTTTGTCTCTGTTCCAAATAGGTCTCCAAATCATCCCAATTAAAGTCCTAGAGTCGAATCTTCAGCATAGTAACTTAACTATAGTTGTCATGAGGTAGCGCCAGATAAACGGTCTATAGGTATACCTATTAGAGAGAGAGTTTCTATATAGCAGATCTGCAAAAGTTTCAAGGACTTCTGTAACAGTTAATGGAAGTTATAATACAATTAAGCGATAGCCAATATTTTTCGAAAGTGCCAAATTATTTTATAAACTAATTTTTTAACTTAGTTTTAACAAAGGAACAGTTAACAATATGTATCACAATAAGAAAATTATTACCGTATGGTGTAAATATAATGATATTTAAAAAATTAACTATTAAGGTAGCGACATAGCTGGCAATCAACATCACAGTTATGAATAATACAATCTTAAAATCGGTAAAGAACAAAGGGTCTAAAATAAGAAAAAAAAAAGCATATTATATGCAACACTGCACTGTTCATTGCAACACTACTTTCTTTTTCAGAAAAACCTTACATTTTCATTGTATAAATATATTTTATTGATAATACGCGTTTCTTAAGAACAGGAAACTAGAGTGTAGAACTTAATGTTCTTGTAACTATCATAGGAATTTAACTGAACTGACCTAAAATAATTTCAAATTTTCTACATGCTCTGTCAGTTTTAGTCACATTTATTTATTGTTTTAGTGAAATATACTTAATAAATTGCACTTTTTCTGTATAATATATAAAAATAATTTCATTTTTATTACATTATCGTGTATGATCGGCATTATGTCGATTTCAGAAGATTTTCGTGTACATTGATTTTCCTTTCTTCCTCTTTGATGTAAACAGGACTGATGATAAAGAGAGTAAATTGGTATGACGTGTACCTTATCGGTTGCGTTTCGATTTTTGTTTTTGATGTTTTTGGCATTGTTAGTAGATTAACCGGCCTAGGATGTCGAGACGGCAGCGTTGTCGACGCCGGTGACGGCCGGTGTCGTTACGCCATGACGTCATTCGCCAACTGCTCACTACTCTAAAAGAATTTTCTGTTTGTAGGACACCACAATAATATTGTCAGGTCAAATGTATTTAGATATATAATGATTTTTCAATGGCACCACATATCGCTGCGTTTTTCCTTTATTGGATTCTGTATAGATGATTTAAAAAAGTAAAACAAGTAATACTTACTTTAAATATATACTGTAATCTCTAAATATTTAAGATTAAAACATTTTTAACTTAAATATTTAGTTGTTTATTTGTTTTGAATCTATTAGATTGATTACACATGAATTATTACGTGTAATTTAGCAAAATTCTATATTTTATGAGTAAAAACCATGTCAATCAGTGTAAATATGATTTTTGCAAAAGGCAAGCTTAAAATTATTTAAAATTCGTCGATTTCAAGAAGCCATCATCATAAGCTAAAAAGTAGGACACACTTTCACTAACATTACCTTGTAGACTTTCTTTACTCAGTACACAATATTTTCTATTAGTTTGTTGACTTGTTCATGGTCTATAATAATGTCTCTGTCGAAATTATCCGCGATTCTAGTGCAGAAAAACTACATAATTAGACCCAGTTTTATATGTGTAAGACGTTTGGAAAAATCTACAAGTGCAAATGTGCAACATACAAAAAAGCCCAATTGGAATCGGGCCGTTAGTGAGGCAGAAAAAATTGTGGGATATCCAAATAGTTTTCTTAGTTTGAGATGGTTGCTTAGTGATGAAATTGCTAATGTTGCCCTGCAATTAAGAAAATTGGTAGGGTCTAATCATCCCTTACTCAAAACAGCTAAGTAAGTTTTTAAATCTTATAACATGCTCTTAAACTCATTTTTAACTAATCTATGCTGCTCTTATCAATGTTCTTGCGATTGCTAAAGTCATCTTTGATGCTCTTTTTCTTAGTTTTTGTTTTATTAGTTTTAAATTTTTTCTCTAAAGTTTTCTTTGGTCCATCATTCTTTTTTATTTTATTTTCTAAAAGTGAACGTTTCATTCTTCTCTATGCGATACATATTCTGCAATCTGCTATTACTTACATTGATCATTTTAGGGGATTATTTTTCAATGGAAAAAATAATATGCAGGCGTGGGGTCTAATAGTATTGCTGGTTTCCAAAGCAGCAGGTCATTCTGCCGATATACCAGAGATGGAAGAGGACAAATCTGCAGGAGTACTACACAGTCAAAGAGCTTTAGCAGAAGTGACTGAGATGATAAGAACGAGTCATCTTGTACACAAAGGTCTAGTAAATTTGCAGACTCCCATTAAATTCGACGCTCCAGGTACAAAAATGTTATAAATATTATTTTATTATTGATAATCATTAGTTATTATTAACATTGTTTTATAAAAATTTCTAAGAAAACCTCAACAGAGGGTAAATGAATATGCAAAGACTTAAAATATTACTTTAATTACATATGGTAAATGTTTTAAAATGACCGTAGGGGGAGTTATCTAAGGATCTTTGTAAGACTTATCGTAGAACTAATACAGAGACCGAGCATAGCGCGTGTCCGCGGATTAGAACTGCAAAATATTGCATTGCTTGTATTTACTTAGTCTTTTTATTTTACAGGTATTTTAACACTATTTTTAATTCATTTAGGGTAAACCATATAGTTATTGGACACTTAAGAAAATTTCAACTTTAAAAATTCGTAATTCACATTGTTCTCTGCAGATTGAATTGAAATTTATACAAAACGTAGTCTAAACAGTTTGTTATAATATAGCCAAAATGATTTAAAGAAAGTGTTAAATCTTTTTTGTCAATATATATTTATTAAAAATAGTTACAAAAATTATAGTTATTTGACAGTTTATTTAGTTACAGGACACTCAAAATTAGTTATTGGATAAGTGCTTTAACACAATAAAAAATTAGAAACAAATGAAAATTACAAGAAAAACCAAAGATTTCTGTGCGGTATGGGGTACCTATATACATTTGACACAATTAAATTTTATAATTGCTTCTGTGCTTCTTTGTCTTTGTATTGAGTGAAAAGTCCGTCAATGTCTTTATCCTCACTGTCTTGGTTACTGGTATTAGCATCGGAATCACTATCCTGTAGTTTGAAACAGTGGTGATATATAAATAGATCACCATCGTTAGGTATATGCTGTCTATGCTTAACAGGAATACAACAGTCGTGATAATAAAGACTACAGTCATTGCATTTTAATTTATTTGCTTGAATATCATTTGAACAAATAGAACATTTGACTTTTTTTGAATTCTTTTTGTTGTTACACTGGTTTTTGGTTATGTTTTCCTCTATTTTTCGTTTCCTTTATTGTTTTTGTTTTTTCTGCTCTTCTTTAAACTCCTCATTTTTTCGTAACATTTCTTGATATCGTGCAGATGTAATAGCAAAAGGAAGTCGTTCCGTGTTACGTTTATTTTTTCTTTCCAGTACAATAGGAGAAGTTAAAAATTGCCCAACAATTCGTGTTTGACAATAATTTTAATTGTAGTGGGTAAGTCATAAACATTATTTTTATATTGCTGAATATGGATATCATTGGTACTACCATTGTTTAAATAGGACATACTACTACTCTCAGAAATATTTACATTTTCAATACCACTTTGTTCTGATGTTTTTATTTCAGTATTTTTAACGGGAGATGTGATAGTTATATTTTGAATAATATTAATGTTTGTGTCTCTATTTTTTAGAACCATTGGGTTATCCCAATGTTTTGTTATCCGACCATGTTAAAAAAATTCCAAATTTTGAACAACAAATTCAAATTATCGTCGCTAGGTAGATTATTCTTGTGATTTTCTTTTAAATTCTCTAAGCTATGAACTTTTTCAGGACCTAAGATATTTACAAAAGTAATATAGTTCATCTTGGGTTTCTTTTGATGATTTGAAATGATTAAATTTTTTACTACTTCTTTACCTAAACATTTTGTGTAGTCAATAGCATCTGCTTTAAATGGAAAAAATCCGCAAACCTTGAAACCATTTACTACTGTTTCAGTTTTACAGCTATTTTTGTAACTTCCTCCAATATAGAAGCAAATACAACCTTATTCAATACCCCTCCTGGATGCTGTTCTTCCCATTCTCTCACTCACTGCTGCGAAGCTTCTTTTAGTGGACGGAAAATAGAAACGTCACATGGTTGTAAAATCTTTGTGGCGTTAGGATAAACTGCAATTACTTCAATCTGCAGTTAATTACACAATAGACTTAATTGGTAACTTAAGTTACTCTTGTGCTGATCTACAAAAAAAAATAACTGGAAGCTTAATATTATTTTCAATTAGGTGGGGGTAAAAAACATTCATAATATACTGATAGAATGTCTCTGCCGTCATCCAACCATTATCGCTTTTGCTAATTTAGGATTAATGCCTTTAGCAACTTTTTCTGGAATACGTTGATAAGAATAAATAACCATAGGCAAGCAAATTTTACCGTCTGCTGAAAACCTAAAGATCATAGTGACTTTTTTTAACAGCTTTTTTCAACATTATAAACATTTTTTGAATCTTTCATAACTAATACTTTTCCAGTATATAGACATATTTGAAATCCTTACCCATCACCATTAAAAATTCTTGATGGATCAATTAGAACTTCTTCTAGATGTTTTTTTAATATAGCATAACATAACATTTTCAATATTTTTAAACCAGTTTTTGATGTTTCGTTCAGATACACAAGCGCTAACTGCCGTCACATACCTTCACTTGTCCTTTTAGAAACCTCTGGACGTCGCGTCGCTTCAAAAATAACTAAAAAAAAATCAAACGATAAATACAGATTAAAATACATTTTTTTGTGACTTACTAAATTTAACCAAATCAGATTTATCCATCCATCTCCAGGTCGATTATCTTTAAAGTTATTGGGCGCGGATTTTCGGATAAAAATTTTTGCACGCTGCTTTTTAAATCGTTAGCTTTTTGGAGAAACCTTTTGAGGCGGTTTCTTGCATCATCTGAAATATTGAATGTAAAATCCTAAAAAATCAATTTAGTTATTGGACGGTCAAATTATCGGATCTATATGAATTTTTATTGTAGCTTTCTTGTAAATATTATGTATGAGCATTCTGTATCGGGAGGCTATTCCGCAGTTGTTCATAGCTCTCTCTATTGCCCAAAGTTCTATAGAGTCGAATGCCTTTTCATAATCAACGAAGCTAATGTATAAGTTTAAGTGATATTTATTGGCATTTCCTATTAGAGTTCTGACCGTAAGAAGATGATTCGCTGTACTGTAACCCTTTCGGAATGCTGCCTGCTCTACCGGTTGATAGCTATCGAGCTTCGACGTTAACCTGTTAGTTATTACGTACTCTCATAAACAGTTTGTACATTTGGGACAGCAGGGAGATTGGCATATAGTTCTTCAGATCTCCCCTGTCTCCCTTTTTGTTGAGAAGTATTGTCAAAATTGCATTCCAATCATCTGGGACTTCTCCTCTGTGAAGACATTCGTTGAAAAATTTTTTCAATTCTTCGAGAATAATTTCACTCCCCTTCTTCAACATTTCTACAAGTATTCCATCTGGGCCCGGAGCCTTTTTTAATTGTGCCATAGCTTGTTTTATTTCGAAGGATTCTATGTTGTATAATTCTATGTTCTATATTGTATAAAATACAAATAGATGCGAAAACCAAAGCTATACCAATTAACAGAAGAGTTCGCCAAGGAGATGTTATCTCACCAAAGCTATTCACACTCCGACTGGAAGACGCGGTAAAAGGCATTAACTGGGCAGATAAAGAAATAAATATTAGTGGAAGAGAACTGAGTCATTTAAGATACGCTGATGACATTGTAATATTGTACAGACCATGATGAGCAACTATTTCAAGCTTCGGAAAAAGTAGGTCTTAAGATGAACTTGGAAAAAATAAAAACAACAATAATGACGAATATACCGAACATTAGAGAAATAACGTTGAACGACATAAATTTAGAAAAAGTAAGCGAATACATCTACCTGGGACAGATAATGAAAGTTAACAAAGAAAATCAAACTGCCGAAATTACCAGAAGAATAAGGTTAGCGTGGCAGGATTTGGAAAACTAAGTTGGTTCTTGAAAAGCACTAAAATATAACAATATTTGAAAACCAGAATTTACGATCAGTGTATCCTCCCTATACTCACGTATGGTTCACAGATGTGGACACTCACCAAATATAATATGGATAAAATAGTAAAAGCACAAAGAGCGATGGAAAGATCAATGCTCGGGGTGACACTTATAGACAAAAAAACAAACAAATGGATTAGAAGCAAAATCAAAGTAAAAGACGCAGGAGAACATGCTGCCAAATTAAAAGGGAGCTTCGCAGGACAGAATGCCCAACTGAAGGATAAGAGATGGAGCCACAAAATACAACAATGGAGATCATGGTTAGGAAAGAGAATCAGAGGAAGACCACAAATAAGATGGGCGGATGATATTAAGAAGATTGTGTTATGTATTTAATGAGACACCGATTATTGTACAAAACTATTTATTAAAAGATACAGTGATTACAAACATACATTATAGATGGCTCCGTAGACTCACGGCGTTTGTGGCCTGTTTGCGGGGTGCAAGGTAGTCTGGGCACACTTTAAACTGTTTTATTAATTTATTAACAATAAACTACATACTAAAAACAAGTAAGAAAACTGTAAGAGTTCTTTTCGTTGTTGCCTCGTAGTGTGTTGTTTCCGTGTTCTGACACACATCAGCTGGCTCTCCTCTCCTCTTCTTTTCTCAGTCGACGTTCCCTCACCTCGGTAGCACAGTCAATCCATGTGTGGCTGGAGGTTAACTGTCAATCTGCCACAGGGCTCCCCTCCAGTGAGGAACCTGCTGGTTTCGAACGGCTATGTTGACTTGTGTTGCTCATCAGACGGTTGGCATATGCATGTTCTTCCTGCACCTGTTGGGCCGCTGGAATATATACTGGTTTGAGTCGGTCCATGGAACTTCGCTGAGGAACATTTTGGACATCCAGAGTTAAAAACTTATCACTTCGTTCTAACACTCTAAACGGGCCGGTATAGGAAGGTGTAAGAGGGAGCTTCACTTTATCGGTCCGCACAAACACATGACTCGTAGTCTGTAGATCCGGATAGACAAAGGCAGTACGGGCTGAGTGGTTGATCGTCGGTACAGGACGCAATGCTCCCATGGTCTCACGTAGTCGTTGAACAAAACTATGCTCGTAGGGTGTAGCAGCACTAGGGTACTTGAGACTCACTGGGGTACCATACACTAACTCGGAGGATGCCCATGCAATGTCTTGTTTGA